GCTGGATTCGAACCTGCCACCTTAGGTGTATGTGGCTGGCGTCTTAGCCACTTGAGCCACAGGCGCCAAGCCGGCACTTGTATTTTTTTTTTAAAGACAGAGTCTCACTTTGTCGCCCTCAGTAGAGTGCTGTGGCATCACAGCTCACAGCAACCTCCAGTTCTTGAGTTTAGGCAATTCTCTTGCCTAAGCCTCCCAGGTACCTGGGACTACAGGCGCCCGCCGCAACGCCCAGCTATTTTTTGTTGCGGTTTGGCCAGGGCCAGGCTCGAATCCGCCACTCTCGGTACTTGGGGTCGGCGCCTTATTCACTGAGCCACAGGCGCCGCCCATGTACTATTTGTTTGTTATTTTACTTTTATTATAGCACTTTGGCTGCCTTTTCTCTAAATGGCAATACTATAATAGAATTTTGTCTCTGGAATAAAGAAAGAATCCTAGCCCCAGCTCTGTTACTCACTCAGCTATATATTGGGCAAGCAAATTTTCACTCTTTGAGAATCAACAGTTCCTATCCACAAAATGGAGACAATAATAGTCCTTAACTCATGTGCTGTTTGCAGATCAAAAAAGGTAATGTCGGAAAAATAGCTGACACGGTAGGTGCCTCTTTCGCTAGAACAAGAGTTCTTAATCTGGAGTTCATGGATTTAGGGAACACACGGATAAGCTTGGGGGGGGGGTCTAAGAAGCTCCCGACATAAGGAGCATCTCAAAGGGTTTGTGAAACCGAAAAGGTTAGCTAACTCAGTGCTAGGCCATAAAGGCCTTGAGGGATTAGAACCAGCCTTTTTTCTTGCGGGGATGTTAATAGGTGCTTTCTTATGCATATCTAGTTTCTAATTGTTACAACAGTACTTTGAAAGACATGTTAGCCACCTATTTTTTTTCAGATTCTAGAACTCCTAACCAATGTAAATATTACTGAACACTTTCCAAGACCAAGAACTCAGCTAGGCTCTGAGAACCCAATTCTAGTCAGAGCTCAGCACTACAGCTGCCTTCCTCTTTACAGGTTTGCATCCCTAGCACACTACCGGGCTAAGAGACGTCTCCGATATTTTTGCTGAACGAAACGGACTTTACCAGGCGGGGTCGAAAAGCCTCCCGGGGCCCAGAGCTCCGCCCCACACATGACCAGGTCCCACCCCCTCTGCAGTCGGTATTGTCCGCTGATTCCCGGCGTCTTTCGGCTTCCCTCGGTAGTTTCCGGCAATGATCGAGAGTTTCTAACGTGCCCCCTTGTTGTCTCTCGGCTGCCGTCCTCCCTTACCGCCCCCCTCCCCGCCTTTTCGGCTCCGTCTCCCCCTTCCCTCCACCACCCGGCAAGCCTGGTCCTGCTGGCGCCTCTGGCGCTACGGGCTGGGCAAGATGGCGGCTTTCGGGATCTTGAGCTACGAACACCGGCCCCTGAAGCGGCCGCGGCTGGGGCCTCCCGATGTATACCCTCAAGATCCCAAACAGAAGGAGGTGCGTTCGAAAATCGGGACCCACGGGGATCAGGGGCACTCAGTCAGCATCAGAGGAGGCATTGACGGTTTGGGGAAGGGGGGGCGGGGCGGTTAGATGAGAAGGAAAGTCCCAAAAGGGGGAAGAGTAAAAAGTGGGCTTCTGTGGGCAGCAGGACCGGGATGGGGGTGGGGTTCCAAGGTGTGAATAGGGATGATGTAGGGGCCACACCAGAGGCGCCCCAGTCCACACACATACACCCCAGAAAGTTGTTTGAGGTAGCTTGGTGAGGTGCAGCTGCTCACAAGGGAAGAGTAATTAATGTTGAGGGCGCTCTGGGTGGCTGGGAATCTTATTGACTATGGGGGTGAGGGTGAGGTCCAAGTGAATATAAGGGCCAAGCTTTAAGTAATAATCTGCTCTACTCATAGTCTTCCTTCTCCCTTCTCCTGTTCCTTCTCATCTGCCCCTCCTATCACCTGTCCCCCTGGGGGGAATTAAAATGCCCTTTTCCTGCCTCAGGATGAACTGACCGCCTTGAATGTAAAACAAGGTTTCAATAACCAGCCTGCTGTCTCTGGGGATGAACATGGCAGTGCCAAGAACGTCAACTTCAATCCTGCCAAGGTGAGACAACTCTGCCAGGCTGAAGAAAAAGGCTGGAAGAATCTGAGCAGGAGCAAAGTCCTAAGTGGCTGAGCTTGCCTTCGTAACCTAATGCTACCTCATTGGCATTTGCCCATCAAAGGCAGGACCACCTTTCTGCCCCTTCTTCCCACCCTGAGGTGTAGTTTTCTTCCCTCAGATCAGTTCCAACTTCAGCAGCATTATTGCAGAGAAGTTACGTTGTAACACCCTTCCTGACACTGGTCGCAGGAAGCCCCAAGTGAACCAGAAGGACAACTTCTGGCTGGTGACTCCACGATCCCAGAGTGCCATTAACACCTGGTTCACTGACCTGGCTGGCACCAAGCCACTCACACAACTAGCTAAAAAGGTAAGGTACTTTTTCCTGTTCTTCAGGCCAAGGGGGGAGCATGGGTACTAAGTACCCTCTCACAGATTAATCTCCATGGGTGCCAGCTCATGGGGGTAATAGAGACCTCACTAATTGTGATGTCCATCCAGGTCCCCATTTTCAGTAAGAAGGAAGAAGTGTTTGGGTACCTAGCCAAATACACAGTGCCTGTGATGCGGGCTGCCTGGCTCATTAAGATGACCTGTGCCTACTATGCAGCAATGTCTGAGACCAAGGTTAAGAAGAGACATGTTGACCCCTTCACGGGTGAGTAGCACTTAACACCAAGTATACCACTGATCAATTCAAGTAGCCATAGATTCTCAGAATCATTCTCTTTCTTGTTTCTGCTTGTATCTTGCATTCACTCAGTAATTTGAGTATCTACTGTGTGTATATACTGGACTACAAAGATGACTGGTACATAATCTCTGCCCTTCAGATGCTTATAGCCTAGTCATATGTACTATGTACCTAGTCATCCATATGACTAGGATGCTAAGTCATGTGTACAAGTAACATAATTAAATGAAGAAAGTGGTAAATGTTGAAAGAGGAGGCAGAACGTTCTTTGAGGCTTCAGTGAACAGATTACTTTCTTTGGGAGATATCTAGAAAGGTTTAGGAAGGTGGCATTTGGTAAGAGCCAAAGAGAATGAATAGAATGTAGAAGTATGGTTATTAGGGAGGAGGGGACAGAAGGTATTCTAAGCAGAAGGATGGTATCATAGTGTCAAATAACCCTTTTTCCATCTTTCCTCTAGAATGGACTCAGATCACCACCAAGTACTTATGGGAGCAGCTACAGAAAATGGCTGAATACTACCGGCCAGGGACTGCAGGAAGTGGGGGCTGTGGTTCCACAATAGGGCCCTTGCCCCATGATGTAGAGGTGGCAATTCGGCAGTGGGATTACAATGAGAAGCTGGCCATGTTCATGTTTCAGGTAGGGAGTAGGGCATGTTGTATGGGACATTGGATTGAGCCTGACCTTGCACTCTGCCAGTATATAACAGAATCTGTCTGCCACCTTGCCGCAGTTGTGATTCTCTTCATCCTTTCATTTACTTTGTCTGCCTTATAGTAGTATAGTATAGTCCTTGTACTGAGCCAATACTCTTCCCACCCCTAACACCCATAGGATGGAATGCTGGACAGACATGAGTTCCTGACCTGGGTGCTTGAGTGTTTTGAGAAAATCCGCCCTGGAGAGGATGAATTGCTTAAACTGCTGCTGCCTTTACTGCTTCGAGTAAGGCCTAGGATTTGGGGTGCATAGGGAGGATTTGAAGAAGAATAAGACTTTAGAACAGAGTCCTTTGGAGAAGACTAGGGGCTTTGATGGTCATGTCTTTGCAGTACTCTGGGGAATTTGTTCAGTCTGCTTACCTCTCCCGCCGCCTTGCCTACTTCTGTACCCGGAGACTGGCCCTGCAGCTGGATGGCGTGAGCAGCCACTCATCTCATGTTATGTCTGCTCAGTCAACAAGCACACTGCCTACCACCCCTGCTCCTCAGCCCCCAACTAGCAACACACCCTCAACTCCCTTTAGTGACCTGCTTATGTGCCCTCAGCACCGGCCCCTGGTTTTTGGCCTGAGCTGTATTCTACAGGTAGGTACCGGGTGAATCCAAGGAAATATTAAGAGATAGCCTGAGAAGAGTTGGGTGCCCATCCTGGAGAATGGAAATAATTCTGAGTTGGAGGTGGAAGTAGGCACTGAAAACTTGCTTGGAGGTTGTTTCTTCTTAGTAATGGATGTTAGTTTCCTTTGGAGGTTTTGGCCAGCCTCTCTCTTTGGGGGCTAAATAGTAGACACAAAGCCTTTTAGCAAAGTGAATGAAGGAAAGGGATCAGAGATGAAGTGATGCCTGCCTCAGTAACTCAGTCCTAATAAATTTTTTTTTTTGAGACAAAGTCTCAAGCTGTCACCCTGGATAGAGTACCATAGCATCACTATGCTGACAGCATCCTCAAATTCTTGGGTTTTAAGTGATCCTCTTGCCTCAGCCTCCCAAGTAGCTGAGACTACAGGTGCCTGCCACAACACCTGGCTATTTTTTGGTTATAGTTGTCATTGTTGTTTGGCAGGCCCAGGCTGGATTCGAGCCCGCCAGCTCTGGTGTATGTGGCTAGTGCCTTAGCTGCTTGAGCTACAGGCGCTGAGCCATAACTTTTTTTTTTTTTTTTGAGACAGAGTTTTACTTCGTCACCCTCAATAGAGTGCTGTGGCATCATAGCTCACAGCAACCTCAAAGTTTTGGGCCCAAGCTACTATTCTCTTGCCTCAGCCTCCCAAGTAGCTAGGACTATAGGCACCCACAATGCCCAGCTATTTTTAGGGATGAAGTCCCTCAGTGTGGTCTCAAACCAGTGAGCTCAGGGCAGTTCAACCACCTTGGTCTCTTAGAGTGCTAGGATTACGGGCAGGAGCCACCACGCCTGGCCTGGTCATAATAACTTTAAATCTGAAGTGTAAGGGTTGGGTCTTGTAATGGGATTCCAGAGAGTTAGCTATGGTAACTGAGTTTGACTTAGCTGTTTCTGTCTGGCAGACCATCCTCCTGTGTTGTCCTAGTGCCCTGGTTTGGCACTACTCACTGACTGATAGCCGGATTAAGACTGGCTCACCACTTGACCACCTGCCTATTGCCCCCTCTAACCTGCCCATGCCAGAGGGGAACAGTGCCTTCACTCAGCAGGTAAGTCTGACCACTAGCCTGGCTCTCCAATACTGAGCTATAAAGCTGAATTACTCTTTCATAAATAGTGATTTGGAGTATGGTACTGTCCTTTCAGCCTTGGCCTTTTGTATACCTTGGTACATCCTTAAAGCCTTCCTTTTTGATATTGCAGGTCCGTGCAAAGTTACGGGAGATTGAGCAGCAGATCAAGGAGCGAGGACAGGCAGTTGAGGTTCGCTGGTCTTTTGACAAGTGTCAGGAAGCTACTGCAGGTGGGTTTCAGAAGATAGATAACAAGAAGTATGTTTGAGGAAAGGATGAGCATAGTAAGGACATATATATCTGAAAGACAGAATAAATTAGGCCTCCAGTTAAGTCTCCTTCACCACTTTTCCTCCTTAGGCTTCACCATTGGACGGGTGCTCCATACTTTGGAAGTGCTGGATAGCCATAGTTTTGAGCGCTCTGACTTTAGCAACTCTCTTGACTCCCTTTGTAACCGAATCTTTGGATTGGGACCTAGCAAGGATGGGCATGAGGTAAGCAATAAGGGAAGTCAAAAGAGCAAAATTATTGCAAGAGCAACAGTATGTATGAGGGGAAGTGATGGTGAGGCATTGAAACCAGGGGCTGTCTGCAGAGATGATATTGCTGGGCCCAAGATGTTTTAAGATGGGGCCCAGTCTTTAAGAAATTGGAATTCATTTTTTTTTGTTCCGAACCCTGCCTTACTCATCCCTGTCTTCGTTTGGTCTCCAGATCTCTTCAGATGATGATGCTGTGGTATCATTACTATGTGAATGGGCTGTCAGCTGCAAGCGTTCTGGCCGGCATCGTGCTATGGTGGTAGCCAAGCTCCTGGAGAAGAGACAGGCAGAGATTGAGGCTGAGGTTAGGGGAAAGAGAGAAGAGAATGAGACTGGCTAAGGGGAAGGAATCTAACTGGGGTTGGAGACAGAGAGATTGAGGTGGTAGTGGGACCAAAGTTGAAGGTATGAGAACAGAGTAAAAAAAGTGATAGAGAATGTAAAGGGAAAGTTAAGGATAGGAGGCAAAGGCTTGGCACCTATAGCTCAACCGGCTAGGGTGCCAGCCACGTACACCTAAGGTGGCGGGTTCGAATCCCCAGCCCGGACTCGCCAAGCAACAATGATGGCTGCAACCAAAAAATAGCCAGGCATTGTGGCAGGCGTCTGTGGTCCCAGCTACTTGGGAGGCGGAGGCAGGAGACTCGCTTGAGCCCAGGAGGTGGAGGTTACTGTGAGCTGTAATGCCACGGCACTCTACCCAGGGGGACAGCTTGAGGCTCTGTCTCAAAAAAAAAAAAAAAAAAAAAGGATAGGAGGCAAAAATAGAAAGGAGTGGACTAATGTCAGAGAAGAGATTAAGGTTTCAATTGGGAGGTGGTAAAGATAATGGAGATTGGAGGCAGAATGGAAGTGAAAAGCATAGGATAGAGGCAAAACAGGTGATAGTTGAAGAGTTACATGTTGAGCAAAGAAACAGGTAAAAGTCACTTCTGCAATTTGTTCTTTCATCTTACAGCGTTGTGGAGAATCAGAAGCAGCAGATGAGAAAGGTTCTATCGCCTCTGGCTCTCTTTCTGCTCCTAGTGCTCCCATTTTCCAAGATGTTCTCCTGCAGTTTCTGGATACACAGGCTCCCATGCTGAGTATGGACCCCTGCCACCCTCTAGTTACCTCTGCGTAGACCCAGTTTCCAACTACTGTCTTCGGAAAGCATAATTAAAGGCCTTCTGGTCTATATTTCTGTCTTGGGCTCTATGCAGAATGTTGTTTAGATATAATTCTAGTCTCTGATCATCTTACAGTTTAACAAAGTAGAGAAATACAGAGAAAAATAAAAATAAGAATGTTTGAAGCATTTACACTGTCAAAATAGCAGCAAAGATGCAATATTCCTTTCTGAGACGGTATGCAGGACAACAGGTGGGGTAACCAACCATACTTTGTCCTCAACAGTTTCTGAGGATTTTTTTTTTTTTGGTCATTCTTATTATTGCCTTGGGTGTGTCCTTTTCTGATATCTTCTAGGATTACCATACCTTAGGTATGTCCCTCACTTTTTGCCCACCTCTTTTGTGTTCTAACGCACCTTTCCTCATTCCCTCTCTCCAGCGGACCCCCGAAGTGAGAGTGAGCGTGTGGAATTCTTTAACTTGGTACTGCTGTTCTGTGAACTGATCCGACATGATGTTTTCTCCCACAACATGTATACTTGCACTCTCATATCCCGAGGGGACCTTGCCTTTGGCGCTCCTGGTCCCCGGCCTCCCTCTCCCTTTGATGATCCTGCTGATGACCCAGAGCGCAAGGAAGCTGAAGGCAGCAGCAGTAGCAAGCTGGAGGTGAGTGGGCTTTCCTTGCCCTGAATCATTCCTTCAGACATCTCTATCTTCATGGCTTCCCAGGGCTCTGAGAATCTCTTTTACCTAATAAAGGTAGTGCTTTCTTAGCACTTTGTGGTTTACAATTATAGAATAACTCTCGTATCCATTATTTCATTGGTTCCTCACATCAGCTCTGAGAGATACTCTTCCCCTATTTGAAAGTTGAAGGAAACTGAGGCCCATACTGTTTAAAGGACTAGACAAGACTTGAATGTTGAACGTAGATCCTGCACTTTCCACAATATGGTCTTTATCTAATTCTCCTGTGAACTTTTCTTTCTTTTTGAGACAGAGTCTCACTATGTCACCATTGGTAGAATGCTATTGCGTCACAGCTCACAGCAACCTCAAACTCTTAGGCTTAAGTGATTCTCTTGCCTCAGCCTCCCAACTAGCTGGGACTACAGGTGCCCACCACAACACCCAGCTATTTTTTTTTGTTGTAGTTGTCATTATTGTTTAGCAGGCCTGGGCTGGGTTCAAACACGCCAGCCCTGGTGTATGTGGCTGGCACCCTAGCCACTGAGCTATGGGCACCGAGCCCTCTGTGTACTTTTCTAGATGGTCAGGAGCAGCACCCTAGGTGTAAGGCAACTTCTGTTATGTTTATGCCCTCAGGATCCAGGACTCTCAGAATCTATGGACATTGACCCAAGTTCCAGTGTGCTCTTTGAGGACATGGAGAAGCCTGATTTCTCAGTAAGTTAAATCTTGAGCATGGATGACTCCACCTCTTTAGATCCTCTCATTATGCTTCTTTTTGGAAATTAATTATGTCCCTTCATCCCTTTTTCTTCTTCTAAATGTTCTGTCCTTTCACCTTTTTCTTAGTTGTTTTCCCCTACTATGCCCTGTGAGGGGAAGGGCAGTCCATCCCCTGAGAAACCAGATGTTGAGAAGGAAGTGAAGCCTCCACCCAAGGAGAAGATTGAAGGAACACTTGGGGTTCTTTATGACCAGCCACGACATGTGCAGTATGCTACACACTTTCCCATCCCCCAGGTACTATTCCCCAACACCTCGTGATGACCAGCTTTGGACCCAGATTGCTATCCAAGGAATTTGTTGAGGGGTTGAAGCTGTTCCTTAGGGTGTGGATACGTTGAGAAGGGGCCCAGACCTGGGGATCCTGAGGTATATGGAGCATGCCTTAAGAGGAGGGAAGGAGATGCATGCTAGAGCCTGATGGTGCTGCTGGGATACAGGAGGAGTCATGCAGCCATGAGTGCAACCAGCGGTTGGTCGTACTGTTTGGGGTGGGAAAGCAGCGAGATGATGCCCGCCATGCCATCAAGAAGATTACCAAGGATATCCTGAAGGTTCTGAACCGCAAGGGAACAGCAGAAACCGGTGGGTTTGAGGCTTCTTAAACAGATCTCCCCCAAAGAGTGCCCTAGTCAGTCTTCCCTTCCCCAGCATAGGGAACTCCCCAGTCATGTCCCAATGTCCTGTCTCTTGGAGTCTCCTGAGAGCTCTAGTCCTTTTGAAACTTCCCCCCTCATTCCCCCCCTCTGCAGACCAGCTTGCTCCTATTGTGCCTCTGAATCCTGGAGACCTGACATTCTTAGGTACCTCACAGTAAGCCCCATACTGCCCGCCCTCCCTCCCTATCCCTTCCCTCCCTCAACCTGGCACCTCCTTGTACATATTCCTCTAAGGTCCACATAGTCTGTGGTCCTCTAAACCTTTGCTTCACTGTCCCCTTCCCTTAATCCCTCCCCTATCCCTTCCTTGACCCTCCCTTCCATGCTTCCCTCTTCCTTCCCTTCCTCCATCCGTCCCTCCCTTTCTCCTTCCTTCCCATAGCCTTTTCTCCATACCTCCCTCCCCATCCCAGTCAATTAGTTATCTTCCCCATCCTGACTGGTCCCTTTCAACTGTCCCCTCAGGTGGGGAGGATGGGCAGAAGCGGAGGCGCAGCCGGCCTGAAGCCTTCCCCACTGCTGAAGATATCTTTGCTAAGTTCCAGCACCTTTCACATTATGACCAACACCAGGTCACAGCTCAGGTGTGGGCCTAAGCCCAGCCCCCTTCCCACAGTCTGGCCTCCTATTCTGTTTTCCTTTCCCCCTTATCTTTTTTCCCCCTAGGCAGGTTAAGCCTCCTGGTCTCATCCCCTTCCACCATCATCCTTTCCTCCTTCCCTCATTCTTCTTTCCTCTCTCCACTCTCCTCACTCCCACTGCCCTTATCAGGTCTCCCGGAATGTTCTGGAGCAGATCACAAGCTTTGCCCTTGGCATGTCATACCACTTGCCTCTGGTGCAGCATGTGCAGTTCATCTTCGACCTCATGGAATATTCACTCAGCATCAGTGGCCTCATCGACTTTGCCATTCAGGTGGGGAAGTTGGGGGAGATAAGGGTGGAGGAAGGAGTTTGTGCTATGTAGGGTCATAAGGACAGAGGTAGAGGCTCCAACCAGGTTCCCAGGCTATTTGGAGGGGCAGAAAAACTAGCATGGGGAGAGTGGAACATGAGCTAAGACTATAGGAATAGAGACTTAAGTGCTCCCTAGGGAGGCCCAAGAGGCAGATTAGAGCACTGGGCACAGACCATTCTCACACTGTGATGTTCATAGAACTATATTCTGGAGACTGGTTTAGAGGTATTGTTTTTTTGTTTGTTTGTTTGTTTGTTTGTTTTGAGACAGAGGCTTACCCTGTCACCCTCAGTAGAGTGTTGTGGCCGTCACAGCCTCCAGCTCCTGGGCTTAGGCGATTCTCCTGCCTCAGCCACCCGAGTAGCTGGGACTACAGGCGCCCGCCACAATGCCTGGCTATTTTTTTGTTGCAGTTTGGCCGGGGCCAGGTGGGTTTGAACCCGCCACCCTCGGTATATGGGGTCGGCGGCCTATTCACTGAGCCACAGGCACCGCCCTAGTTTAGAGGTATTCTTAGTAGAGTAAAGGACAGTGAGGCCAAGTGCGGTGGCTCACTCCTGTAATCCCAGCACTCTGGGAGGCCAGGGTGGGTGGATCTCTTGAGCTCATGAGTTCAAGACCAGCCTGAGTGAGAGCAAGACCCTGTCTCTAAAAATAGCCAGGCGTTGTAGTGGGCACCTGTAGTCCTAGCTACTTGGGAGGCTGAGGCAAGAGAATTGCTTGAGCCAAGAGTTTGAGGTTGCTGTGAGCTATGACCCCACGGCACTCTACCTAGGGCGACAAAGTGAAACTCTGTCTCAAAAAAAAAAGAATAAAGGACAGTGGCATGTGGTAACAAGTGCCTTCTATCCCAGGAAGCTCCGGCAGGAAGGGGCTCAGGCCTGTCCCTGCCAATGTCCTCACAGGAAAGGGGGTTATACATAACATGAGGGGCCTCTTCTCATCTCTCACCCCCATTCTCTCTGCTAGCTACTGAATGAACTGAGCGTAGTTGAGGCGGAGCTGCTTCTCAAATCCTCAGATCTGGTGGGCAGCTATACTACCAGCCTGTGTCTGTGCATCGTAGCTGTCCTGAGGCACTATCATGCCTGCCTCATTCTCAACCAGGACCAGATGGCACAGGTCTTTGAGGGGTAAGCAGGACTTTAAAATAACTGAAACACCTCAAGCTCCTGTGAATGCCAATGAAGCAGCCTGGGAAGAATATGCGCATGAGCTCACACTGTAGGGAAATACCTGCCATTCAGGTGGGGAGGGAATAGTATTACCAAGAGACTTGAATCTGTTTCACGTGCTCTTTGCACCCCAGGCCCGCACCATCTGCTGATCCTCCCAACCTTTCTTCTTCATGACAGGCTATGTGGCGTAGTGAAGCATGGGATGAACCGGTCAGATGGCTCCTCTGCAGAACGCTGTATCCTTGCTTATCTCTATGATCTGTACACCTCCTGTAGCCATTTAAAGAGCAAATTTGGGGAGCTCTTCAGGTAAGAGAGGTGGAAGGTAAGGGGTAGAGAATGGGATGTAGTCCCTTCTTCCCATTACCACCCAACTCAAGCAGAGCACAGCCTGGGACCCTGATGCCTGTCCAGGGTCACTTATGGACTGTTGTCTTCCATGTGTTGTTGGATTACTGAGAGTGGGTCCTATTCTGTATCACCCATCTGTATGGGGCCCACACTCTTCCTCCTTGCTTCCAGAGGCCCCTTCCTTATTCTCAAGTGGTTCCTCTCCTGCCCAGTCTGCTTTGTCTCATCTCTCTTTTCTTGTCCCAAAGTCCCATGTCCCTCACTTTCTCTTTTTTTGCTTTTCTCCCTTTTCTCCCTCTACCTCACCAGACCTTCAACACTACTATCTCCTTTCCCCCACCCCTGCAGTGACTTTTGCTCAAAGGTGAAGAATACTATCTACTGCAATGTGGAGCCATCGGAATCAAACATGCGCTGGGCACCTGAGTTCATGATTGACACTCTGGAGAACCCTGCAGCTCACACCTTCACCTACACAGGGCTAGGCAAGAGTCTTAGTGAGAACCCTGCTAACCGCTACAGCTTTGTCTGCAATGCCCTTATGCACGTCTGTGTGGGGCACCATGATCCCGATAGGTATGGGGTGTACTGAGTGAAGAACGGGCACTACGCCCCTACCTCATATGGGGAGGGCTAAGATACCCGGGAGGCACTACAACCTTGATTATTACAGGGGCAGAGATGAAAAGTTAATGAGTCTGAGATTTTGTAGAGCATGGTTTTTCCTGAGGGCATTTGTGCTTTTCCCTAGGGTGAATGACATTGCAATCCTGTGTGCAGAACTGACCGGCTACTGCAAGTCACTGAGTGCAGAATGGCTTGGAGTACTTAAGGCCTTGTGCTGTTCCTCTAACAATGGCACTTGTGGTTTCAACGACCTCCTCTGCAATGTAGATGTGAGACTTGGGATAGAGTCTTGCTGGGGAGGAAGGCACTGACCAGGGCAAGGGACTGGTCACAATCATCAAGATAGTAAAGAGATAGAGTTCTGTAGAGTGAAGGCACCTTCTCGCTACACTGAGTCATAACGTCCATCTGCTTTTCCTCCAGGTCAGTGACCTGTCTTTTCATGACTCCCTGGCCACTTTTGTTGCCATCCTCATTGCTCGGCAGTGTTTGCTCCTAGAAGATCTGATTCGCTGTGCTGCCATCCCTTCACTCCTTAATGCTGGTGAGCTACCAATCTGTAACCCCTAAAATTTCTGGACCCCAAATTTCCATGTACACTCAATGGTCGTCCCCTCATTGCGAGATATACTACTGTGGCTCCCTGGCCCTTATAAAAAGGCCAGTCATCTGGTGTGCCTCAGGCTGCAAGGGACCTATTTTATAATTATCCTGGATTTAGCCCGACCTTCTGATTTTTGACCCTTCAACTACATAATAGTTGTTTGCTCTATCTCTCCTTCAGTATTTTTTTTTTGAGACAGAGTCTCACTTTGTCACCCGCAGTAGAGTGCTGTGGCATCACAGCTCACAGCAACCTCCAACTCCTGGGCTTAGGCAATTCTCTTGCCTTAGCCTCCCAAGTAGCTGGGACTACAGGCGCCCACCACAACACCCAGCTATTTCTTGTTGCAGTTTGGCTGGGGCCGGGTTTGAACCCACCACCCTTGGTATATGGGGCCACGCCCTACCCACTGAGCCACAGGCACCACCTTCTCCTTCAGTATTATCTTGCTTTTTCTCCTCTCCCCTTATCTCACCTTCCTTCTTATCCCTGCTCCCCCCACACACACACAGTTTGCCTTCATCTCCTTGTGCTTTGTCTTCCTCTTAGCTTGTAGTGAACAGGACTCTGAGCCTGGGGCCCGGCTTACCTGCCGCATCCTCCTCCACCTTTTCAAAACACCACAACTCAATCCTTGCCAGTCTGATGGAAGTAAGTGACCCTGATTTGAGCCAGCTGGCAGTAGAAAGTGTGGTTCCCCACCTCCCACAGTTTCTGCTTTGTTTTCCCCTGACATCAGCTTGCTCCCCAGACAAGCCTACAGTAGGAATCCGCTCCTCCTGTGACCGCCACCTGCTGGCTGCCTCCCAGAACCGCATCGTGGATGGAGCTGTGTTTGCTGTTCTCAAGGCTGTGTTTGTACTTGGTACGGGAGTAAGAAGGGAGTGGTGCCAGAAGTGTGTATAGGGTGGGCTGTCAACTAAACTACAAGGGACCATCTTTCTCCCTCCTGAAGGTGTCTCTCTGACCTTTGGGGAGAAAGGGAGGGAGGGAAGTATATTTCTGTCCCATAGGGCAGGATTTGGGGAGTTTCTGTCTCTGTGGGCCTGGGGTGGCTCTCCACACAGGGTTCTGATCTCACTTTGCCCTCCCTATCTCCCACCCATGAACCATAGGGGATGCAGAACTGAAGGGTTCGGGCTTCACTGTGACAGGAGGAACAGAAGAACTTCCAGAGGAGGAGGGAGGAGGTAGCAGTGGCGGTCGAAGGCAGGGTGGCCGCAACATCTCTGTGGAGACAGCCAGTCTGGATGTCTATGCCAAGTACGTGCTGCGCAGCATCTGCCAACAGGTCAGTTTCACCTTCCCCCCATACCTCCTAAATGCCTCTGTATAATATAGTCCTGTTTCCACTTCATGATTGCGTCACCTCCCTACTATCATCATGTCCCTTACCAACCCCCAGCCCATCCCCTTATTCCTAACCCCCTCACTGGTTGCCCTCAGTCCCCTGATTATTAGCTTCCTCAGGAATGGGTAGGAGAACGTTGCCTTAAGTCTCTGTGTGAGGACAGCAATGACCTACAAGATCCAGTGTTGAGTAGTGCCCAGGCCCAGCGCCTCATGCAGCTTATCTGCTATCCACATCGACTGCTGGACAATGAGGATGGGGAAAACCCCCAGCGACAACGCATTAAGCGTATTCTTCAGGTAGGCCAAGGTGATGGAAGTCTTCGAGGAAGCAATCTCAACCTGGGGAGAAACAATGAGAACCTTTGAGGAAAAAAGGAGAGTCAAGTAGAGAGGAAGATGAACAAGGATATAGGAGAAAGGTAGTGGGAGAAACAGTTCCATTATGGGTTTCAGAGTAAATACACTATGGTCTAGACTCTAGAGTAAGACTGTTAGGTGAGGGCACTACTGTCTGGAGTGAATCTAGCTTATCAGTGGGAAGCATAGCATCTGGGAGGCCTAGTTTTTGTCCTTGTATATTTGGCATTTTGGTCATGACTGAAAAACTGCAGTAGTAGCTACAACTTGTTGAGCATGTACTTTGTGGCAGGTATTCTGCTTTTATTTTTTTTCATTTAATCTTTGCAACCCTATGAAGTAGGTATGGGTCTCCCTGTGTGACTGATGTGGGAACTGAGGCCTGAAGAGATTATGTAACTTTTTCAAGGTCATAGAGGTCCCTTTGAGACCTCTAGGAATCTGTGATTCAAGGTTGTAAGAGATCAGGAATTGGCCTCAGGATGGTAGGTAGCTAGGGGTGAAATGGTGATGACTAGCTTGGGGGTGGGGTCTCTATCACAGAACTTGGACCAGTGGACCATGCGCCAATCTTCCTTGGAATTGCAGCTCATGATCAAGCAGACCCCTAACAATGTGAGTAGTGCCTGGGCTCTCCCTTTCCCATGCCTACTTCCAGCTCCTTGTGTCAGGGGAGTAGGCTACCATAGAAGAACCTAGATCCTACTCTTGGACTGTTGAGCTGAGAGAAATAAGAGGGGATAGGAAAATGGCAAACGTGGAACTGATGATAAGGGGAAAGTGTTGGGAGTATTGGAGTTCTGAGCTGGGGGAAAGTTTGGTAGTGGTAACTAAGTCTGTTTCTGCAGCCACATATGTAAGGAGGAGTGTAAAGGAGAACACAGTGGGTAAAGAATATAGAGGTGCTAGAGAACATGACTCCTCCCAGAGTTGTATCCCTACCTTCCCGTCAGCCTCCACCCAGGCTGTCCTTCACTCTCATCATCCATCTCCTATCATTTGTTTTCCTTTGCCCCACCTACCTATATGAGCACCTCTGTGCCTTTTATCCTCTCCAGGAGATGAACTCCCTCTTAGAGAACATTGCCAAGGCCACAATTGAGGTTTTCCAACAGTCAGCAGAGACAGGGTCATCTTCTGGAAACGCTGCAAGCAACATGCCCAGCAGCAACAAGACCAAGCCTGTGCTCAGGTTGGATAGAAACATGTTAGGGCCCATTCCTCGTGAGGTTCTCTTCTGGCGATGTAAATGATGTCAGCCTCGTGGAAATACCGGCATGTCCCTCAGGGGAAGGAGAGGATGATTTGTAACCTCACCCGGATTCCTTGTAACCTTGTGTCCTCCATTTCTTCTTCAGCTCGCTAGAGCGCTCCGGTGTATGGCTAGTGGCCCCTCTCATTGCTAAACTGCCCACCTCAGTCCAGGGACATGTATTAAAGGCTGCTGGGGAGGAATTGGAGAAGGGTCAGCACCTGGGTTCCTCTTCCCGCAAAGAACGGGATCGACAAAAGCAGAAGAGGTAAAGGGGCTTGGGGGAGACCAGGATTGGGGAGAAAAGAAAAGAGGCAGGCCCAGGGAAGATAAAATTTGAGGCTGAGAGCAGAGGATAAACATCATAGGACAGAAAATCAAGATAAGAGTGGGTATGGCTCAGCAAGAGGTTAGATCTTAAAAGACTAGAGTCTAGGGCTTGGAGGAATTAAATTGGAATTTGGCCTGATCCTCAACCCATGATATCCCTTTTCTTTTTCTCCTGTCTCCAGTATGTCACTGTTGAGCCAGCAGCCCTTCTTATCCCTGGTGCTGACATGTCTGAAAGGGCAGGATGAGCAACGTGAGGGACTCCTTACCTCCCTCTACAGCCAGGTGCACCAGGTATAGGTCTCTGGGCCATGGAGGTGGGCAGGAGATCAGGGAAGGATGCACCAAGGAGGCCACAGTGTACTCAGAACCTTTAGTACTTTCTGTTAAACACATGGGATGCTTTGGAAGGGAAACGAAAAGATCGTTGAACTGCACATTATACTTGCTTCTGTCCTAGATTGTGAATAATTGGCGAGATGACCAGTACTTAGATGATTGTAAACCAAAGCAGCTCATGCATGAGGCACTCAAACTGCGGCTCAACCTGGTGAGAGGGCAAGCTAGGGAGAAGAAAGAAGGGGATAGGGCTGGAAATGCAGAGTTAAGAAGCCCCAGATTGGGGCTTTTGGGATGAGGATAGAGGTCCTGGGTTTTTCTGGGTCTTCCAGTATTTCTTCTTCTTCTTCTTTTTCTTTTCTTTTCTTTTCTTTTTTTTTCTTTTTTTTTGCCGAACTCTAACTAAGGGTAGGGTGGATATTCCTGTATTAACCCTGCTCTCCTCAAGGATATCAGGCCTGAAAATGGTTAAGGGGACTGTATCACTGTGGTCAGGATCCAATAGGTTATATACCCTGGATCCTTACATGGACTCTGCCTCTTCATAGATTCTGACTGGGCACTAGAAACACTGGGTTCAGTGGCTCACACCTGTAATCCTAGCACTCTGGGAGGCCAAGGTGGGCAGATTTCTTGATCTCAGGAGTTTGAGACCAGCCTGAGTAAGAGTGAGACCACTACTCTACTGAAAAAACTAGCTAGGTGTTGTAGCAGGCACCTGTAGTACCAGATACTCAGGAGGCTGAGGCAAGAGGATCACTTGAGCCCAAGAGTTTGAGGTTGCTGTGAGCTATGACACCATGGTACTCTAGCCTGGGGCAGCAGAATGAGACTTTATTTCAAAAAAAAAAAAAAAA